AAGTTATGCCCTGGTCAATTTACAGTTGACTTTTTCAGTTGTCCAAATAAGGAAACTTTTGCATCTTGATGATTTTTGAGCCAAGCTTTGAGAATCATGATCAAGCATTGATCAAATGATGTTTGTGGCTTCAAAATGAGATGTTGATAAAAAATTTGAACTTTTGACTGTCAAATGACCATTTTGCCCCTGCAATTGACTGTAGTGCAATTTAGGGTTTTGACTGTGCAATTTTGAGCTGAATGTCTTGAAACTTGGTATGAGGATGCTTGACCATATTTGTAGGCATATGAGACTTGATTGGACCTTTGGAAACTTCATTTTCTTGACCAGAATCAAAACCCTAATTTTGACTGCTTAGGAGACCCTTGAACTGTGCAACCCTTGGGGAATTTTGAAGCTTGACTTGGCAAATCTTTGAAGAATATGGGAGGGCAAATTTTGGGGTACAACAGATGGGATTTAGGATGGTATTGTAACTTTCACTTGAAGTTGTAATAGAATTTTGTAATAGCATGTATGAACTTTTATTTTGATGGAATTAATTGAAACATGAATGAACTTGGATGATCTTGAATGGATTTTTTGATGAAACCTGAAACATGAATGACATATTTGGACAAAGCCAAATTAGGCTAGAATCATAGCCAACATGGATGGAATTTGAATGAAGTAATTTGATTTTGATGGATGATAACGCTTGGATTTTGTTTCAACTTGTCTATATTTGAATTATGAGCTATATAAATTTGGGTTAAAAGTCCAAGGGAAATCGATCAACATTTGAACTTGAATAATATCCTCAGTGATTCCAAAAAAAATGAATTCACAAGAACCACACCAAATCATTCTCGCCTCCTTTCTAAAATTCCTAAATTCCATCTCAGATCCGCCTTTTGTAGTTGAAGCAACAAACAATAACAATGCCTTGATCATATTACACGTCCACAACATCATCTTTATACCACGATTTAATCCTTGTAATTCATTCCGCCAAGGCACCTCAGTAGACAACCCATGACCATGAAACAAATGTCATGGAGAAAACCTTGTAGATAGGAACAATCAAAAGCGTACGAATGATGATGATCACAAAACCCTGAGATCCCTTGAGATGCACTTTGATGGCTTAAAAGTCCATGATGAAGGTGTCCTTGTAGCTTAATAAGAAAGAAGTCCACAATATCCATGAACATAACCCTAATTCCATAATTTCACTGCCTTGAAGAATAACCATAAGAATCAAGCTTTGTTGAACATATACACCTCAATCAATTGACAAAACCCTAATCCCGCGCCAAGAAAAATGAGAGCGCCAGTTGAATCAATTTTGAGCAAGACGACAACCTCCATTCAGAGAGAGAGATCCTAATGCCAAAGCTCTTTGATCTTATAACCATGAGACCAATGCTATGTGTGAGATGAACAGAGTATGATGAGGGATTTTAGGGGCAAAAATTGGGGTACAACAGCTGCCCTTATTTAAGTGTCTTCTATCCGGAGATACAGAGATTAAAATCTTCGTTTCGAAGTGATTGAAGATACTTAAATATAAAACAAGCCCTATTTTTGGCCCTAAGATACCATGTGATGCTTATGATTATAGATGTAATATATGAACTTCATGCAGATGGGCCAGACACGTACTGGAGAAGCAAAAGTAGAATCTACAAGTTGCCAAAAGAATTCAATCAGGACGCTAAATCTCTGGAGAACAACACGACTCCTGGGACAGAAATTTGAAACTATTGGAGATAAATTGGCTCTGCTGGGGAAAAGAAAACTCAACTTCACTGGGGTAAGATCCAGAGAGGAGAAAAAATAACATAAACTTCAAAACTGAGGGGAAAATAATGGATGACAACGATTAACTGATAGCTGTGAACTATCCACTCATAGAGGAGATAGCAAAAAGAGAGTACCATTAACACAGGGGATCGACAATCGCTAATCATAAAAGATCGATCTTACCTAAGAATGGTAATGAACTACCCACTCAAGAATGAAGGTAAAAAAACAAACATAGGACAATACTAACTTTTATTGAAGGTAAAGAAACAGAAGATACACCGACGTTTACTGAAGGTGGAGAAAAGAGAATGCACCAGCTTTTACTGAAGGTGATGTCTCAAAGAGCAATAATGAACTTCCCAAAATCCTGTCGTTCTTCCTAGAACGAGTAAAAATATAAGCTATCTCAAATAAAGATACTACCACTTGTAAAGATCTCACAAATAAACTTCTCTTGCGGAACTTCCTCGAAGAGATGCCATTTGATGGAGAATTGGATAAACTTCCCCTCGATCCTGACTATAAGCCACGAACCGGTCTCAGTTTCTTCTTTAACCAAGATGTTTCACCTGGAAAGGGTAAAAACACAAGCTATCTCAAATAAAGAGTCTGCCACTTGTAAGATTTCACAATAAACTTCTCTTGCAAAACTTCCTCGAAGAGATGCCATTTGATGGAGAATCGGATAAACTTCCCCTCGATCCTGACTATAAGCCACGAACCGGTCTCAGTTTCTTCTTTAACCAAGATGTTTCACCTGGAAAGGGTAAAAACACAAGTTATCTCAAATAAAGAGACTGCCACTTGTAAGATTTCACAACAAACTTCTCTTGCAAAACTTCCTCGAAGAGATGCCATTTGATAGAGAATCGGATAAACTTCCCCTCGATCCTGACTATAAGCCACGAACTGGTCTCAGTTTCTTCTTTAACCAAGATGTTTCACATGGAAAGGGTAAAAACACAAGCTATCTCAAATAAAGAGACTGCCACTTGTAAGATTTCACAACAAACTTCTCTTGCGAAACTTCCTCGAAGAGATGCCATTTGATGGAGAATCAGATAAACTTCCCCTCGATCCTGAATATAAGCCACAAACTGGTCTCAGTTTCTTATTTAACCAAGATGTTTCACCTGGAAAGGGTAAAAACACAAGCTATCTCAAATAAAGAGACTTCCACTTGTAAGATTTCACAACAAACTTCTCTTGCGAAACTTCCTCGAAGATATGCCATTTGATGGAGAATCAGATAAACTTCCCCTCGATCCTGACTATAAGCCACGAACTGGTCTCAATTTCTTCTTTAACCAAGATATTTCACCTGGAAAGGGTAAGAACACAACTGTAGGAATCTTTCAACGAACCGTCTTTATCATTGAAGTACAGCCAAACTCGACAATGAACTATCTCCCATGAGACTACCATTCATTAGAAAAATGATCTACTTGCATTAACAGACTTACTGGGAAGGACGGGTTGCTCAAATAAAGAGAACCGCCACTTGCTGTTTAAGAAGAAATTGTAATAAGACTGGCGAGGAAAGAAGCTTGATTTTCTGGGGAAATACCAATACATTCCTGTTGAGGAGAAAAAAGTCTTTGCGTGCAAAATAAATGCACATTCTCAGATCAAGGCTTGAAGCCTGCAGAAATCAGAATAATAATATTGTCAGGGACTACAGACTCAAACTAGAAATAAACTGGAATGAAATAATCAACCAAGTCAGCACCCGATGAGAAATAAACTCAAATGGGGATCACACTCCATCCAGATAATGAACTGAATAGGAAAGCTGGAGCAAAAATTCTTCTACGAGGGATAACTCGGTAGGGAAATTTAAAGGATATATACACTTTCTGTTTAACATCGACAACTCTATTGGAGAGAGAGTAACAATACTTTACAAAGAGGATAATATACTGACAAAACATTAACGGATGCAAATGAATAATGAGATTTAAATTTATCTATGCATGATGTGTATGAATGTATGGATGTTATCATGTGCATGCTGACAAAACAACCATAGTGCACTGGGGATAACCAGACAAATCTAATCTCAGGCGAAGACAACACTCGGCCAAGTCACATGCTGGATGAAGATTAGATTCCACAAGAGGGTAAGCATCAACAGAGGAAACAAAGTCTTATTTCACGGCTTAACTTCGATAGGAAGAACATGGCTTGAAAACAATCAAAGAACCACCTGACTAGAAACAAATAAAGTTGCGGGAATATCATAACTCTTCTATGTCTCACCAGGGAATACCAATACGGACTTCGACAAGGGAAGACAAAGCTTCGTTGTCTAGACCTCACTGGATATTCCAAAACTAACTTCACTAGGGGGAATATGAAAGCCATGTCGTCGAGACTTCAATTGGGGATGTCAAAACAAACTTTACCGGGGAAGATGCAAAACTACATCATTGATACTTCAAATGAGGATTGTTATGCTAACTTCATTAGGGGAAAAGAAGCTATACACACCAAAGAGAGCTTGGATACAGTCTTCAATATTAGGCATAATATTTGTTCAAAATTCTCTGGAGAGAGATCATGGAACTTCATGGGATAACAACTTCAGAGGGAAGTATCATATTCGACACATCTAGAGAATTGAGAAGTTGACAACACAGTAATGGGTCAGCTTATGGGGATTTTAAATCAAACTCAGCGCATAGCAAGAGAAAACCCAGGAGTATACGCTTATCTCAAAACTTCTTAGAATGTATATTGCCCTTGTCTGGTTGTTTAGAAGCACAGTACAACAACAATATCATAACTGGGAGGGCATAATATTCTGCTAAAGATTACTTCTCAACACGAAGGGAGAAAGAGTTCAACAACTAAGCACATGCTTTGTAACTTCTCAACCTCTGCTTGATCATCTTTTGACCACGGAAGGCAATTACACTCGGTTGGAGAAATCTGAATCAGGACCTGATTGGAGAGGATGGGATTACAAATCCACCATCAAATAGCTGCTTGAAGACATCTAGACCAAAACTTAATTTGGGAAAGATGGGAACACAAGCCCAAATTCCACACCACAACCTGGAAGACACCCACTAGCTGGTCAGTTATTGTAGAGGGAATCATGCACCTAACTACCATGCAGATCATCAGAAACAATATTGCCTGGGGAAAATCTTCGGCTCGTGGAAGAACCTAGGAGTTATTTCATTATTTTTAGGAGTAGCAGCCAACTACACCATTCTTGCACCTGTTTTCTTAGCGGTGTCTGCCTTGGATAAGGCCGCGATAATGTCAACACGGTCCGCCGCTATGAGGGAATTGACACAAGTATTCGCAAACAGATTTCCCTGATCATTTGTGCATGTAACGGTGCACATTGCCTTTTCACGACAGTGATGACCATTATCACTAACCAGACATCTTATAGCCAGAAAAAGAATCTCAAATTCTCCCTTGCGGTGCCTGGAACCATTCGGAGTATGAGCGGTAATTTCTGATATAGAACCGAACGCAGAAAATACGGTAACAGTTTTAGGATAATTTGCCACAGGTATATTGTATAGAACTTCTACCACATCCTGGTCGGCATTCAACACAATCACATGAGGGCTGGATTTTTCATCACTGATACGAGAAGTTATTTCTGATGGTTCTTCTTTTCTCTTCTTTGATCCGAAACTAGAACCAGAACCAGGAGGGCATCCTCTTCTCCTCTTGGTTGGAGTTTCTGCAGAAGATGTTAGAGAAGGTCCCTCCTTTCTCTTCTTTGGTGTTATGTTGGGTGAAGAATCTAATGGTGATTGCGGAAGTACATCATCATCGTCATCATCTCATCTTCTTATTTGTGATGATCGACAGCGGAAGTACCAATCATATTTGCTGCTGCCAAAGCGTTCTTATCATCCTCTTCCATTGTTGTGCCACAAGAATAACAAATTTTGAAACTATGGAATGGAGAGAGAGAGAGAGAGAGAGAGAGAGAGAGAGAGAGAGAGAGAGAGAGAGAGAGAGAGAGAAGAGAGAGGAGAGAGAGAGAGAGAGAGAGAGAGAGAGAGAGAGAGAGAGAGAGAGAGAGAGAGAGAGAGAGAGAGAGAGAGAGAGAGAGAGAGAGAGAGAGAGAGAGGAGAGAGAGAGAGAGAGAGAGAGAGAGAGAGAGATAGAGAGAGAGAGAGAGAGAGAGAGATTGGTTTGTGATTGTTGGGATTGATTGGGACTAATTTATTGTTGAATCGATTTTATTTTCAATTTACTAATTGAGTTTATGTGTATGTTTTCCTGAACAGGTGTATTGTTGAACCGGTTTAGATACAGGGCTTCCTCATGTTGCAGGTTCTTGATTTTGTAGCAACATGCTTCTATTGTGAAGTGATCACGAAAGGGCCATGGCGACAACGCTCGAAGAACATGAAAATCATAGTGCTTTGGCCTAGCAATGTGGGTCGTCAATAATAGGCTTAAACATATTTGTATACTTTTCTATGCATGGAAATGGTATTTGTAACTCTTGGGCAGGATTCGAGTTGTGATTCATGGCATAATCAGTTTATTATTGAAGATTTAGTGAACATAGGTGTAGGATGGGATTTAGGATGGTATTGTAACTTTCACTTGAAGTTGTAATGAAATTTTGTAATAGCATGTATGAACTTTTATTTTGATGGAATTAATTTAAACATGAATGAACTTGGATGATCTTGAATGGATTTTATGACGAAACCTGAAACATGAATGACATATTTGGACAAAGCCAAATTAGGCTAGAATCATAGCCAACATGGATGGAATTTGAATGAAGTAATTTGATTTTGATGGATGATAACGCTTGGCTTTTGTTTCAACCTGTCTATATTTGAATTATGAGCTATATAAATTTGGGTTAAAAGTCCAAGGGAAATCGATCAACATTTGAACTTGAATAATATCCTCAGTGATTCCAAAATAAATGAATTCACAAGAACCACACCAAATCATTCTCGCCTCCTTTCTAAACTTCCTAAATTCCATCTTAGATCCGCCTTTTGTAATTGAAGAAACAAATAATAACAATGCCTTGATCATATTACACGTCCACAACATCATCTTTATACCGTGATTTAATCCTTGTAATTCATTCCGCCAAGGCACCTCAATAGACAACCCATGACCATGAAACAAATGTCATGGAGAAAACCTTGTAGATAGGAACAATCAGAAGCGTATGAATGATGATGATCACAAAACCCTGAGATCCCTTGAGATGCACTTTGATGGCTTAAAAGTCCATGATGAAGGTGTCCTTGTAGCTTAATAAGAAAGAAGTCCACAATATCCATGAACATAACCCTAATTCTATAATTTCACTGCCTTGAAGAATAACCAGAAGAATCAAGCTTTTTTGAACATATACACCTCAATCAATTGACAAAACCCTAATCCTGCGCCAAGAAAAATGATTGCGCCAGTTGAATCAATTTTGAGCAAGACGACAACCTCCATTCATAGAGAGAAACCCTAATGCCAAAGCTCTTTGATCTTATAACCATGAGACCAATGCTATGTGTAAGATGTACAGAGTATGATGAGGATCTTAGGGGCAAAAATTGGGGTACAACAACTGGCATTTAATAAGTTCTTTTTGATAGTCAGGAGTGGGGTCATAAGTTCATCAACTGAAGTAACAAACATATCCTCTTCAATGGCTCTGGAATTTGGCCGTGTTTGGGCATATGGGCAGAAATGGCATTGGGCTTTTCTGGCGCATCAAACTCAATCTCTTTGGCTTCAAGGAGGTCTTGTACTCTGTTCTTTAGAGCCCAACGGTTGTTAGTGTCATGCCATGGACTCTTATAATGGTATGTGCAACGGGCATTAAGATGATAGTGAGGAGATGTTATGTTAGGGTTCTTTTGAGCTTCTTTCAAGGTCACTAGATTGGATCTTAACAGATGTGGAAATACTTGAGATAACGTCATATTAATTATGGTGAATTGTCTGACTGGTCTTTCCATTCTTGGTTGGTTGTTTCTTTGTTGATCAGGCGCAGGTTTAGGAATCATAACAGCCCCCACCATTGGACGGTGTTCGGCCCTATCTTGATTTCTCTGAGGATAAACAACAACCACTTATTTCTTTCCGATAAATGGCTTCCTTACAGCAGCAGAGGATGCATCTTTTTGAATCTTTCCACTTTTTATCCTGGCTTCTACCATTTCTCTGGTCAATATCAATTCAGTAAAACCCACCGATGAACTCCCAATTAGGTGATTGAAGAAGGGACCAGACAAGGTGACCAAAAACATGTCTACTAATTCTCTTTCAGATAGGGGAGGTTAAACTCTTCCAGCCAAGTCTCTCCATTTTTGCGCATAGTCCTTGAAGCCTTCATTTGAAACCATGGCCATACTCTAGAGTTGAGTACGGGTAGGCGCAAGATCAGCGTTGTATTGGTATTGTTTGTAAAAGGTTGCAGCAAGATATTCCCAGTTGTGAACATTGGCTCTTTCTAACTGATAAAATCAATCAAGTTGAGTTCCAGACAGACTGTCTTAGAAGAAGTGTACCCATAAATATTTGTCAGCGGTATGGGGCTGGATTTTCCTCACGTAGGACCGGAGATGCATTTTGGGGCATGAGACTCCGTCATATTTGGCGAACACATGTTCTTTGAATTCCGGAGGAATGACAATCCCCGATACTAAGCCCAACTCCTCAAAGTCCAATCCAGACACTTTTTGGATTTCCATTGCATTCAACCGCTCTTCTAGATGCTTATACTTGTCGTCGGCTGGAGGGTATTGTTCTTCGAAATAGTCTTCTTATTCCTCTTCCTCTTCTGAATTAGATTGAACAGCTGTTTCCTTGCCCTTCCCATCTTGACGATCTTTCTCACCAGATGTCGTAGCAAAGTCTAAGGCCCTTCTTGTCTGCCCTTGGAATCTTCTTCCCATGTTCAGAATTCCGGTTATTTTCTTTGTCTTCTTTTTCTTCTCATCAACCAGCAAGGTCTTCAACTCTTCTTGTCCTTTGGCTAGAGTTAAGAACAAATGTTGAAACTGTGCATTCTAAGCTTGGAGGTCCTTTACCGTTTGCTCGAGATCCATCTTACTAAAATAAACAGTAGAGAGATGAGGAGACTTATTGCAAGAAACCTGCTTATGTTATGATGAATGATAAATGCGTATGCAATGATTTCAAGAATTTTAAGATTCAAGTTTTTTTTAGACAAAAAAGAAACACGCGTTATATTAATAGATTAAAGCTCTAGTACATCAATGCCTTCTTAGGCAAAACAAATACAAGAAACTCTAAGATAGAAAGGTAGTACGCATCCTCTTTGGTGCAATGCAGACATTCAGAGTCTTCTCCTCATGAAGTAGCCTAGTGAGTTCCAAAACCTTCTTCTCGCTAGCGTAGAATTGGGCTTCAAAAGTATCTCACTCCCCCCTTGAGTTGTATCAAATCTCTTTGTAGGTCTTCAAGAGAGGTGGGCATGTCAGGATGTAGCATAATTTATGGAACATCTCCTTCCATGACAGGCTCAATGATTACCGGGAGAATGAAGGGATAAGGCATCATAAGACTCTGAGCACGAGTTCGTAGGCTCGAGAGGGATGGAATTTTTATGCCCCAAAGTCTTTCTATCTACCTTGTTTAACATCCTCCAAGCTCGGATAAATCTCTGGCGAAGACCTTGATCGTCGTTGTCGTAGTCAAATACCAAACCTTAAATCAGCATCTCCCACGGGCCATCCCTTCGGGCGTAACCAAACTGTCTTAAGGCTAAGTATGGGTTGTAGGTGATACCTCCCCTAATGCCAAGTAAAGGGACATTAGGAAATTCTCCACAACGGTCGACAATAGTAACATTATCTATGGCTCGAGAGCACCAATGAATGTCTGAATGTTTGAGCGTCATCAACCTTTGTGACCACCTTGAACCTTGCTCGTTCTTTAATACAGATTAGGGAAGATGCGAAATAAACCATCTTGACAAGAGAGGAGTGCAACACATAAGGACACCTTTTTTCCTCATTGTGCGAGTGTGAAAAGAGTGTAGGATATCCCCTAGCAATGTAGGCACCGAATTGCGAGATATGAAGATTTTGACGGTGTTCACATTTATGAGTTGATCAGGATTTGGAAATAAAACCATCCCATAGATGAGGAGAGCCACAATTTCCTCAAAAGCTTGCAGGTCCAAAGAATTCCAACAGTTTTGGGCTTTCTCAAACAAGAACTTTGCTAGGAAACCTTTGACACCACTCCTTGTTTCCCAATGAGTTGTGACATCATATGAGTGCAAGTGTACAGCTTGAGCAATCTCTTATGGCTTTGGGTCTCTTTCCGTACCATTGAAAGGTAGTTGATTGAGAATGGGAATCCTTAAGAGTCGGGAGAATTCATCCAAAGTAGGCACAAGTTGATAGTCGGGAAATGTGAAGCAATAGTGCAAAGGATCAAAGAACTGAAAGAGCACCTTTATCATGTCCTCATCTGTGTTGGAGGTGACCAAGTTGAGTAGGCGAACATGTATCTTGGTGAATGGAGAGTTTTCAGGAATCCTTGAAGCTAACTCGTTAAGTTGTGGAGGGATCCTTACAAGGTTGACTTGAATAGTTTTCCTGCGAAGAGAATCCATGTCCTACAAAACAAGAACAAAGGTAAATCCAAAATCCTTGAAATGGTTAGTGAATGTGTATGATGTTATGATGTTCATGATGTTATGTACAAGTATGTATATACAAACAAAGCAAACAAGTCCCTAGGTTTAGGCTTGCATGGAGTTTTATAGGTAAGTACCATCTTTAAGTTTAGTTGGCTCAACATGTCCTAGTAATAGTAACCGGGTTCTAAGGAGCTCAATATCACTGGATTATTTTGGTCATTGTTTCAGCACAAGCCTCTTTAATGGCAACCTAAATATCCCAAGAAACC